CAGAGAAGTGAGGCCTTGTCAGTGCTGTGACAGATTTGTCTCACATTTGTACTCAGGCACTGTAGGGGCTGAGTAGGGACAGAACCAGTTCTGATTTGCTGCTCCTCTTCATGTGCCCTGATACCAGAGAAATACAGCTGTTTATTTAGCATAGCTTTGTTAATTGCTATTGCTTCTGCTTCTGTTCCTTCCTACAGGAGACGTACACATCCTTCTGAAGCAGCTTGTACTGTTTGGTTATGATGAGCAAGCTGGGGCACTGCAGGAAGTCCTGGGAGAAGTTTTGCAGTTGATGGAGACCTCGATTCCAGAAATCTGGACTCCAGACCTGCAGCAGAGCTCTGTCAACTCGGTCTGTGCTCATCTGCAATACCCATCACGCCTGCTATACAATACCAAGTATTTAGCAGTATTCTGCATTCTCCAGCAAAGAGTCCAGAATCCTTCCCTGGCTTTCCAGATCTGCTTTTTTTTCTGTAGAGGTCAAACAGATACTCTGTACAGTACCTGCCAAGTCAGTACACTCTAGATGTGTACAACAGGTATAGCCTGCTGCGTGCCTTGCACTGAATGCCACGTTGGACATGATGAGGTCTCATAAGGCTTGTGTTACCTTGTCCTAGTGGTGACTTCTTTTCATGAGCTCTATCTTAAGCGATTTGTAGAACATAGGAACACTGTTTTCTTTTTTAGGCCTGATGGTTGAAGTGTTAGCATGGCTTTTATGTACTGGAGTAGTGGTTGTTCGACCTAGTGATGTGAAGTGAAGAGTTACCAGACTGGTCAATTTAGTCTGAACCAGTATATTGTAAGGAGTATATTGCAAAAAGAAGGGTTATGTCAGGCTTCTAAGCTTCATCTTCATGCAGAATAAGGAAATCACAAAGACTGCACTTAGTTCCCTTCCGAAGTAGAAGTCTTTATTTCTAATAGGTAGTTTCTGAGCGTTCATGGTGAACACAAAATATTCCCCGGTATCTTCTCCCTAACTACTGATTAGCAAGACTCTAAGGACAGATTAAAACTGTTCTATGTGACAGGTAGCTGAGACTCTCAAATGAATTTTAAATATTGCTGGTACTGTAATGAAAGTAGTCCTGCCAAGTCATGACACTTACAGTGCTGTGAAGAAGTAGGTGCTGGGATAAGGGTTCTGTGTCCTGAGAAGCTGTCCAAAAGCAGTTCTCTCTTTCTGCCTCTGTGTTAACTTTTCTGAGATGTTACTGGGCTTTGATCACATACTCCTGGTCACTTTGTACTGTGAGGTCTCCTGCAGGCAGCTGCTTCTGCTTTTGGAGACTAACAGCTGAGTTTTCTTTGTAGGTATCCCTGTTCTTAGCCTTGCTTTGTGCAGGTTGGAACATGGGTATTGCTTCTTCATACAGGTCCTGGGACCCAACTCAACTGCAAACAGCATTATGGCTGCCTATCAACAGAAGAGGATGATGACTCCTGTTGTACAAGGTTAGTTGAGGCTCTGAGTTAGGTGTGGGTGTGAAGTGTTGGTGACGTCAGTGGGCTTTGGGGCTCTCCAAGCATTGCTACCTGCCAACAGTTGTAGCATTTATTCAGTTTTAGGAATTTCTTCATGGTGTACCCTCCTGCCTTGTGGCAAGTGAGCAGCCTTCTTAATAAGGTTTTATTTGCTCTGAAGTCCTGTGCTAAAACTACTGTCCGAATTGTGCTCCTGGCTTCCTCTGTGTGTAGTGTCTGTTGTGAGGGAATTGGAAGTCTGATTTCTTACAGAATGTGTTAGATAATTCTGCTTGTAACTTACCTGCTGAATTTTTCTATCTGGCTTTGGCAGCCAGGCCAAGCTCTTGACCAGGCCAGGCTACAGTCTGTTGTGGTGCCTCGCTATCTTGAAGTCCTTGCAGCTAATACAAACTTAGAGCTGAGAGAGCCAGCAATGGCTGGTCCCATCTCCCCTCTGTCTTCCCTTTTCCCCACTAGTCCTACAGTCTCTTCCCCTACTAGCCCTGGAGTTGCCTGGAGAAATCCTGTAATAAACCTCTAGATGCGGCTTGCCTATTGCCGCTTGCCAGGACTGGCTCCAGAGAAAACCGTGTGCCACTTAATTCACACTGAACAGCCAGCTGGCTGTTGTGTATGATGTCCCAGTTACTGCTGAATGAACAGAGTTCTGCTTTCTGCCATGGATTGTTGCCTCCTGGTTCTGAACAATAACAGTTAATGGAGAGGGGACTTGATTTGCCCCAGAGATTTATTTCTGTAAGCAGTTCTGCTGGGGGCACTCTTGCACCATGCAGGCTGGTGATCAGTCACTAAAGGGAAATGCTATGTGTCAGAGACTTCTCAGTGTCCTTTGATGTAAAGAAAAGTAAACTAAGTAGTTGACAGATCCTGAAGAAACCATATGGCTGTTACCCTCTGTTCTGACTCTTGTCCTGTTTGCCTTTCAGATCCAGAATTACTTATTCCACCAAAACTCAATAAAAATCTACAGTGGAAACTGCATCTTCTCCAATAACCAAAAGCCAAGGAATCCCGTGGACTCTAAACTGTAACTTTTCATATGATTTCATTACACCTTTTCAGAAACCATTGTTGTCCTGGCGTTTCTGATACACTGTTCTTAGGGCTGTGCAAGTGAAGGGTCCCTCCACCTGATGCAGCTGTGACTGTGACCTGTATGTGACCTGTGACATCCCACTGCAGAGGTCGTTTGTGAGGCTGGGGTGTAACAGGGTGTGCAGCTCTGAATGCTGCTGGTGGAATCCAACATCTCCCACCACTGTTCCCTCCCTTCCGGATGAAGCAACCCCACCAGTGTTGGATGGGCTATTTTCTCTGCCATCACTCGCTCCCGTGGATGGTACCTGCCATGATGACAGGTCACATTTTAAGCTGTTCAGCCTGGTTTAGAGATCTCACCAGTAAGTCTGCACCAATAGGAGATTGTAGTTGCTAAACAAATGAGTTGCGTTTTCTCTGTTGAAGCTGGATGTTGGTAATACCAGATTTTCATCAGAATTGCTTCGTTATGTCAGAGTGAACCCTGCAGTATCGACAGCTGTTACATCCTTAAAGTGTGCCCATTCACACCAAGGAGATCTTGGGTAGAGGAACACGAATAAAAGCGGCGGGGAAGGGTGGCGTGAGGGGTGTCAGTGTCACACACTGCTGGGTAATACTACCCTAATTATCTGAGTTTAAAGAAGATCGGTTAATGTTGCTGTGTGGCACTGACAGATCAGCAGCTGTACCCTGGTTATACTATGCGCTATTGCAGAACTGTTTCAGCTGGAAACTGATCTAACCTCATACCTGAGAATTACGTTTTACCCCGGAATGCTTCTGCAGTCTGACTTGAGGAGTAACAGGAGCAGTCCTGGGAGCGGAGGAGGGGGACAAGCTCTGCAGGTGAGGCTGAAAACCCTTTCCGCAGTAGCAGACCCCTCTCCCTCAGTTAATTTTGGCCTGGCAGCTGCCGTGTTGTATGCAAGCCATTTTAGTTAGGTGCTGTGGAAAAATGCCAGCACAAACATGGCACTTCCTGTCTGTTGGAGGTACCTAATGACACTGCAGTGGGCCGTGTTCTTACTGCACGGCATTAGCACGTGTCTAGTGCTGCAGATCATTGTTTGGGGCATGTCTGATGGCCATGTGGGTTTGCACTGTATGTGCTGTGCTGGCTTGGGGTTGTTGGATTGGAGTGGTAAAACAATCCTTTGTCAGGGTTGCATGAAGCATTGGAGTGGTCTTTCTTACAGCTGTTCTGAGTTACGTGGCCTGTTCTGGGTGGTGCGTGGATGGCTTAAGCCTGTTGTCAAGTGCTGTGACTACACTGGAAGGAGATCCTCCAAGAGTAAAGCCTTGAGATGGCAAAACACATGAAAGGCTGCACAGGGTAGGAGTGTTTTACTGGATCTGGGTCTTTGAAATGGTAGCAGAACATAGTCCAAGACAAAATACAGAAGCCATCTTTCAGATCTGGAGAAAGGGGTGATGAGGGAGTCTGCGGTCCTCTCCAGGGTATGGAGGACTTTGGACCTGCAACTGAAATGCAACACTGACACCGCTAATTCCTGACATTTCTAAATCTGACGCCAGGAAATGCTGAGACCTTGTGCAGCCTAACCTATTGTCTAGAAAGAGAGTCCCTCTTTAAAGAACCCAAGAAAAGGTAAAACTACTGCCATCTTACTGAGGATTCATGCTTGTGCCTAAACACAGCAGTTCCTTTAATGCAGGTATATGGGTTCTGCTTTTCCATCATGGTGATGGTCAAAGCTGAAGACCCTCTGGTCAAAGACATGTTTTCCTGTTCTCCCACCAAGGCAAAATCACTTTAAATCTGCCATCCAGGTGGAAGACCAGTCTTCTAAATCATTCATCACTGAACTCCATTGTCCTCCCCTACCCAACTCCCTCCTGAGTGAACTTTGACTAAGGAGCAGTAGAGCTGGAAGCAGTACCTAGTGTCCGTGAGCCTCCAGGGGGATGTCTTGCCTCCTGCTTCCTACTTCCGCAGTTGCTGAACCTTAGCTTCTTTTCAGCAGCAGCCAGGAATCTGCTTTCCCTTGCTTTCTACTAGGATGCTCTTTTGCTTTCTTAGTGATGCATGTCATCTTGAAATATATTCTGCCTTAGCTGCTGTCTTTACAGACACGTTGAATTTGCTCTTCTGAGTTCTGTGGAGGCTCTTACAAACAGATGCAGTTACCAGGAATTGAAGTAAGCCATTAATGCAGAAATACGGAGTTAGCTTAAGAAATGTCCCAATTTCTGAGCAAACGTGGCTGTATGGAAGCCTGATTCTCTCGTTAGAGCAGAAGTTTGTCACCTCTCTGCTGTCTAGCTTCATTAAATACAAAATACAAAAGAAAAAACCCTACTTCAGGCACACAATATCATAAAAATAATACAGCTCCAACAGAAATCTCTTAATCACAGCAAGGGGTGGAAGGGAGGTGCTCTTGAATTGATTCAGGTACCCTTTGTCAACACTGGTCTTTCTAAGGCACATAGTGTCATCTTCAGAAGCACTTCTTAAAAATGCAGGAAGGACCACATTCTTCATATTCACTTCTGTAAACCCAGAGCTCCTGGAAAGAGCGGAGTGAGGCCAGAATAGACCCACCAATCCAGACAGAAGACTTTCTTTGAGGGGACGCGGCTGTGATGAGGTTGTCAGTGGGGCACATCCTGGCCAGTTCCATCTGGAAGCGGTCAGTAAAGCCCTCCATCATAGTGCTGCCCCCACACAACAGGATATTCCTCACCATTTTTTTGTTGATGTCAGCATCACACTTCTTGAGACAGGTGAGTGTCAGCTGCACAATCCCTGGCTGCTGTGAGCCAAGTAGGGCTGGTTTGAACAGCGCTTCAGCACAAAGGAATCTCTCCTTGCCTACGGTGACGAGGTGTCCATCTGGCAGCTCATAATCCATTTGCTGTTTCTGAACAGGCAAACTCAAGTCCTGGGTAAGGTCCAGAGAAGTGTAACAACACTTCTCTTTGAGATCTTGTACGATGTTTAGCTGGTGTTCCGTGAACACGTTTCCAGACTCATTTAGTAACTTCATGAGATAACGTGTGATATCCGAGCCAGCATAGTCTACTCTCCCAGTGATGCTACGTATAACATAACCTTCATAGATGGGAACCACGTGCGAAGCACCGTGGCCACTTTCCACCACGAGAGCTGAGGTTTTTCCATAAGAGTACATGGATAAATGGGACTGGTAGGCAATGTGGATGGCAGGCGTGTGAAATCCTTCAAACATCATCTCAGCATATCTCTCCTTGTCAGTGATGGAACACAGGGGAGGCGCTGACACCAGAACAGCATGGTCCTCTGGCTGAATCTTCATCTCTGTCTGGAAAATACACTCCAGAGTATCTTGGACACAGTTCCAGTCCGCCACTATGCCATGTCGTACTGGGTTGATGAGTGTTAAGGGTACAGGGCTATTCTGAAGCTCTCTTCCGACAAAGGTTTCTTTTTGATTGCTCCCAGTCTCCTGTGTGGGCTTACCAACTGTAGAGGAAACAATGTAGGAAGGCCATGGGTCCCCTGCAAAGCCACACTTGAAGTAGCATGTGCCAATGTCTACGACTACTGTTTTAGTTTCCTTCATGGCTTTGAGGCTACCCTTGGTTGCAGATACATGGCTGTCCCTTATAGGCTTCAAATTCCTTGCGTCCGCTGCTGCCATTCTTGCAGACTTTTCCTGTACGGCTGTGACTTCATACAGCAAGTGCTGGACATGCTTCTCAGCAGCATTGCCCTGCCACCACTCCACCTGGGGTCAGCGCAAGCAGCAGACGTGTGGCTGGAGCCCTGGTGGTGGTGGTTCTACTGATGACATCATACAGAGGCTTGCCCCTCAGAAACCAGTGCTCAGCAGTCAAGTGTGTGACAATCGTGACTTGAGACAGCTGTGCACCATTTCTGTATAGTTGGATTGCAAGCGTTGTGCTTCGCTTTGACCTGCTCTGAGAGGTACTAAAAACCATGACACCCTCGCAGATGTGACGGGCCGTGGGGCATAAACAGCGCATTTAACTGTGAAGCAGCATGGCTTTCCTTTCCGGCCTGCGTCTGCCATGTGAGGAAGACCACAGTTCTCCAGCATTTGCAACTGCTCTCGGTCCAAAATAGTTCCTGTTGCTAAGCGTTGGCACTACTTCACCTCTGGGGCCAAGCAAAGCCCTAGTTTGGCTGTGTCAAGAGCAAATCCCTAGACTGGCTGTGCTTTTGTCATTGTTTCTCTTGGTTTTAAGTTTTGCTTTCTAAACTAGGGCATAATATTACTAATGTCAGCAAAAACTAAGGTGTGACTGGTGTTTGAAATTAGGCCACATTCAACCCCTCACCCTTACCGTCCTCCCCATTCCACTACAGGAACGCCTGTTCTTTTCCAGCAGCAACAGGTCGCTATTTGCCCCATCAGTGTGTGTGTAATAACACGTTGCTGCATGGAGGCACAGAAGAAGAGGACACCCTCTCCCCACAGAATACATTATCAAGAGCTACCAGCAGCATTTTCCTGACGTAACGAAAGCTCTGTGTGCTCTTTTACCCAGAGCCGTTTCACCCAGAGGGCGTCTTACTTAACAAGTCAAAGCTGGGCTTAGGATGAAATCAAACCCTACTAACCAGTTCTGGACCCACAAACAGATTTTCCTTACTACTGCTCTGCTGCCTATATGGGAGTTCACATCTTGACGACAACCGAATGATAGAGGCTCACCAAAATCCTGATATGGAGAAACAGGGCAGCATAAAACCACGCCAATTTCTCTACCCACCTCAACATATGCAGACAAGCAACTGCAAACCTTGATAGGTTATTATTCTGGGAAGCAGTAAAGCTGGTCATTGTGTGTTATACATGTATTTTTATATATAAATGATTAAATACATCCTTGTACATGAGATAGGCTGCCCCTCTTGGAGCCTGAGCAGTGACTACCCTGGCACCCTGGTGACAGGCGATCCCTGCTCCATAGCCAAGGGGAAGTTCAGCAGCACTGAAATCTTCAGGCCATGCTGCGGCACAGCAAAGTGGGGATGCTGCAGCTGATGCTCCTTCCCATTTAAATAACCTGGCCATTTTTTTCAGGCGGAGGGCTTGATCCTAATGCAAGTATTGGTTGTCAGCTGGTGACTGACCCCCTTCAGCACTGACCGGTGCACTTGGTTGGTCTATGTTCATGTTGGTCTAAGGAAATGCAGAAAAATTTCAGCTTAACTTCTCCATAGCATTGCTCGCTCACTACAACCGTAGTGTTTAGTTCTATGTTTAGCTGTAGCGTTTTAATTCCCGAGTTGTTTTTTACTTCCTTGGATAATGGCAATAAAGTCATTTTTTAGGTAGCCGAAAGCGATTACTTTTCCAGCCTGAAAAGACACCGGGGCGTCAGAAACATCTGACAGGAATACATCTGGCAAGCTCCACTGGCAATCAGTGCTTTTGATACAGGAGAAGAGCTTGACAAAGTGTTTTTAATATTGTCTGACTTGTGGTTCGTTTTGCCTTCGGGTTACACGCAACTGCTAATCCTCAGTGTAAACCCTATCTTACATTGTTCTTCAAAAGAAAAGTAGTTGTAGCAAATAAAGCCGTCAGAATGCTGGGCGTTTAAAGATGGACGTGCGTTCTCTAGCTTAAAAATGTGAGAAAATCTGGCGTTTCTTAGGCTTTTTATTTAAGAGTTTCGGAGTTTATTGCATCAAGTACTCAAGACAGAAAGGCGAAATGTACCAATGCTTATGAAAGGGCGATGGTAAAACTTACCTCCTGGGCTGCAGCTGTAATTTGTAAAATAGCTGGCAGTTGGCACAAAAGTACAATGATAATCTTGAAAATGTTAATTTTTTTACATTCCTTGGACAGTTTTGCTGTCAGCCACGCCAGCCTCTGCAACATTATCACTTAAGAGAAACTTCAGTGACAGGCAGAAGACATCAAGAGAAAGACCTCTAAATCATTGTTTCTCTCCTTTCTCAGTAGAAACCCAGATCTGGGCTCAATGCGTCAGCTTCTGAATTAAAATAAATCCTTTCGTCCAAACCCAACGCTTCTTCCAGACTTTGGTCACATATAGATTAGTGGGGCAGTACCACAACAAAGCTGCAAACACGCCTTCAATTTCAGAAGTCACTTTATTTTATGTTGGGTTTTTTTTTGGCTATGCTGTTACAAAGTTAGTATGCGTTTAGTAGTAGTTTCCAGGCTACTTTTTCCCACATTACATTTGTCATTCCAGTTCACAAAAAACGTATGTGTCCACTAACATTCTGAGGTCTTTGTTGCAGCCTGAAATCTGAAGACAGGTTGTAAGATGACGTTTTGCAAAGTCATTTTGGCCAATGTTTCCTGAGATGTTCCTTTAACTGTGGGATAGTAGACAGCTGTTGTTTGCAACGATGGCATCTGAGGGGCAATTTGAGAAGTTCAGAGACGTGATCTTTCACTATCACCTTTCCGTTGCTTCTTACCATCTCTATCACATCTGAAACAAAATGAGACGGGAGGTATTGGGACCGCGTAGCATCGTGAAACACGTGACTGCAGAATCTCTGCGTGCTGCTTTGCATGTACAGCATGTCATCACTGCATTCTAATTTAAACCAGTCACAAAATTTGGTTGACTTTTACTTAGTGCTTCCCAAATATCTGAAATTACATAAAACCTTTCACTTATTACAACAGAATTTATCACTTACACATTTGTTTGGAATAAAAAAGCCCAAAGCCAGAACCCACAAACAGGATTACATGTCACAAAATACCTTTTCTAATCATTACCTTCAGAGTTTAAGAAGTAGTCTGTAGTAAAAGAGTTCCAGTGCTTTTTGGTTTTCAGGGCTGGAGAATCAAAATCCTGGCTGATTAAATGCAAATGTAGCTGACTGAAACAAATATGTTATGTAGGTAAGAGAGAAGAGTAATGTTAATGCTTGAAGTTCTTTTGCAGTAGCGTCGGTTGCAAACACGATTCAGCAGAGTCGGACTGCCAGCCTTATGGGTCAGTCTTACCACGTTTGACCCACAGTCCTGTGACAGAAGAAACCTAGTCTGTTCTGGAAGCGCAGTCTCATGCCAAGCGCTTCACTTAAACAGTCAAGGTCACTAGTCTGCGTATTCCACTGGCCCCTAACTACAGTCTATATTCCTGCTAGTTTCCAAAAGGGCAGAGACAGTGGTTTTAACAAACCAAAGTTTAAACTTTGTAAAGTACCTGAATGGGACTTGGTCAGTGACTCAAAGCTTCATCCAAGAAGTAGAGAACAACTTAGGAACACCGACTGCGATACCCACAGGCATTTGGACACTGTAACATCTGGACTTACTTACACACACACACGACTTGAATCCCTGCTCAGTAGGGCAGGGGAGTTGACAGGCTTAAGAGTCACTCTCTGATCCCCGATC